CCTTTGGCTGGGGTGTCGCTCTTACAAGTTCCTTTCTGTACTTTGGATGGCGGGAAGTTCATAAGTTCATGTCTCCACTTCATGCTGACCTTACGTTGCAGACTTCATTACCCAGCCACACCTCCACGTATTACTTTTGCAGTCCCAGTTGGCACTGTGATTTCATCAGCTAGGCACAACACGGATCTGAAATGGCCATCCCCGTCAGGGTCTGTGGCATTTTGGCAGCCTCATTTTGAGTTATTTGGAAGGAAAATGCTCCAAACAATTCTCATTAGGGGTGCTTATTGGGTGGTAAATGTTTTGATTAATGACTCTGCACATCTGCCTCTTATTTAACCACCCTAGTTAGAACTCCAAAATATTGCCCACACTAGCCCTTTTATTTTGAAGGAGTCATAAAGGCTTCTGACACTCTGATTGGAATGGTAGGTGGTAAAAAGAGGCCCAGGTTTATGATAGACTTCATAAAACTGGAATTGTTCTTTGCAATGTGAAGGAGGATTTATCACTCGAAACCCAACTTTCTTAATCTCTGAGTGGATTCCTGCCTCTGGTGGGTATCAGGCTCTGATTCTAGAAAGTATTGACTTTGCACAGATTCGGCCTGCTGGGCTGTTTATTTGGAGGAGGTGACTTAACAATGATCAATTCCTGAACTAACCCCGTTATTAAAGATAGACTCTTTATGCATTTACATAAAAATTTATTCCTGTCATGCCCTAAGTCCCGAAGCTGTTTCAGAAGAAAAGAGAATGCTTATGTCATCCGTGTATCCCTAGGGCCTCGTGGGCTGTGATTATTCAGTGGGTGAATGAAGGAAGCAGGGAGGAACCTCACCTCTCCCTATTCCAATTCAGAAACATGTGTGGCCATTACTGGTCCATAGCGGTTTCTTGTAGCTGGCTAACACTTGAAGGTGGAGATAAATGGTTTGCTAATGGTGGCACTGCAGTGACCCAGTTCAAATGGTTTGTATGTACATACAGGATCAAGAGAGAAGGTAACTTCGAGTCATGCTAGAGTTCACAGCTGGGCTTCAGTCCCGTATGAGTGCCGTGTTCTCCAACAAGTTGCTCAGTTTTGCCAAGCCCCAAATTCTACATCTTCAATGGGAATGTGATAATGCGTACTTCAAAGCATCGGGAGAATTAAGTGAGATAATGTATATAAAGTTCTCAACATAGGCCAGTCACAGAAAATACTCGGAAGGAAGAAACACTTTCTTCTGGCTTTCCGGCTGCATTTCAGCCTTTTTGTTCTAGTTGATGTTAAAGTTCTCAATAATCTGCCTTTAAACATCAAGGAAGCACTGAGCATTCCCCGCTGCTGTCACTTAGTGGAATGATGTTTCTGTACATGAAGCAGTCCCTGCTGGCACTCTGCTTCTGCGACAGGCCACGTCTCTGCCTCTGCCTTGGAGGTCGCTCTATGGCTGATTGACTCGTTTAAGTTACCCTCTTCTGTGTGCTCCTCCTTCGTAAGGCTCAGGTGTTTGCCCCGTTCTATCTCAGTTCCCCTCTTATATCAACTTTCGCTGGGATTAGGCCACTCTCACTTGCTTGCCATGTTTAACTCTTAGAACAACCCTTCCAGATGGCTATTGTTCTTTTCATTCTATAAACAAGGGTCTTTAAAAAGTGTTTTAGTATAGATTTTCCTCTGAGTTTCATCTCGTAACAACAACAGCAACAAAAATGCAGCTGAAGTTTGTGAATTTATTGGCTTGATTACTAACCCATTGACTTAAACTTTAGATGGTTGTACAGAGTAGTGTTTGGCAGTTAGTGTTGGCTTTCTCCTTCTGCTTGGTTGTACCTAACAAGCTTTGAAAACGCCCTTTCAAAGGGGCTGGATGGGAGAGCTGGAGGTGTGTATGTGGAAGAAATAAGCATTTCAGAATTTTCTTCATTTTTATAGCCCTCATTCAGGGTAAGGTTCCTCCCAAGGATTATTCTTTTTTTTTTTTCTTTTGAGAGGTTTTTGCCTAAGGGTGCAAGCGCTCACCTGAGAGAGAGAGACAAGACACAGTGAGAGGGAAAGTGAGAAATCATCCACCAAGGGGCATGGCCATGCCACAATCCCTTCTCCTCCATTCTCCTCCTGCAATCTTGGGCACATATGCACTCAGCATGAGTTTTAGCTGGGTCTGGGACTTGAACTGTATTCATCTATGTGTGAGTTCAGTGACGTAACCGCTACACCATCTGCTGGCCTCTCAAAGACTGTTCATATACTAAGTCAGTCCATGATGTCTTTTGAGTCTCTAATGTGAAGAAGGTACTCTATTATGCATTTGGAGAAAGATACAGGGGAAAAAAACGAAGTTGGGGACCTTACTCTTTTTTTTAAAGAATTATTTTATTTTACTTTATTCATTTATTTCATATTAGTTTGATGTATTAATTTGACCAGAGAGAAACAGAGTGAGAGCGAGAGAGAAAGAAAGCGAGAAAGCAAGCCGCTTTGGACCACGGTCCGCCATGTGGGAGTCCAACATCCTTAACCACCACGCCACCTGCTGGCCCAGACCACACTCTTACCGAAATTTCTGCCCAGTTGGGAGGAAAAAAAAAATTCTTGCACATAAAATTGCTGATGAACAGTTGGGGAATGATAACCAGTAAAAATGCATTGTGTGCCAGATGAGTACTGACAACTTGTCACCATGTGTAACATCTCCTGGATGTTTCAGTATGAGCATTTGTTCCATGGGAGGGGGGCTTCCCCCCCTTCAGTCAAAAAAATGTTTTCCTAAACAGTGTCTTGGGAAGGAAGGAGATGAAATAGATATAAAAGGAAAACTGCTTTAAAGTGAAAGAGGTTCGATTTAGTGAAAATCCATTGACCTCCCAAAGACTGCAGCGTGATAGCTTACAAATTTAAGGCAGCAGCTAACATGAGGACTTCTCAGTACACGTTTTTCATGGTTTAGATAACAAATCTCTCTCTCTCAAAAAAATCTTAAGAAGGAGGTAAATGTTCAAATTCTTCCACTTTTGAATTTTTAAACATATGCAAAGTCAAAGGCAGAATAGTCTGGCTTTTATGAAGTTGGTCAGGTTACAGCCCAAGGGACTGTCAAACTGAAGTCTGAGAACTATGGCAACACGGAAAATCCCAGAGCATCTTGGGGATTCTTAGCAGGTCTTAGCTGACAATTAACTGGTGGACTCTAAGTGACTCTTATTAGCCAAGCCTTGGCCCTGTCTTGATTCCTAACTCATGGCTTTGCACAACACCTTGGTGTTTCTTTTCTGATGCTTTGATGTTTATATGGCACTCTCAACTTGTTTTGAAAACATTTACATAGTGATTAGTTAACCCAACAGACCAACCCGGGAAGGCAGCCAGAGCCTGCAGCACCTTAGTGATAGAAACCCTGGTGATGAGGAGAAGACACCTGACTAAGACCAAGCACCGGCACCACAATTGGACCCCTTGGTTTTAATGATGGCCCCTGTGAAAACAGCCAGGTGGCAGAGCTGTTTGGATTCACCTTCCAAGTCCACCCAGCACTACTGAAACCCTGGGGAAGGTGGAGGCTCTGTTTTTGCTCCTGCTTTCATCAGTTGCCTGGGGCCAGAAAGCAAACACAACCTAGAGCAGCCCTGATTTGGGGTAGAAACTTCTTTTATTTTCCTTTCTGTTTGCATTCAACATTTTGACTTAGGTATTTCCAATATTGTAATGATCTGCTCTGTGGAACCTCACATCTACATTAGGGACTTTTTTTGGACCCAGGGCTTGGTTTAGTTAAAGCTGCGGCTTTTTATAGTCAAGGGGTTGGTTCTGAGAGACTCTTTACAGATCACTATGTCACTGTCTCCAGGGTATATATCGGGTTTGGTGGCCATTGCATCATGGGGAAGCTGCCTTCCGGTGTTCAAGTTCCAGCCTTTCATCAGAAGATCCAGCATGTTAAGACTAGATTATTGTGCACATAAAAAAAAAAAATTTCATACTTAAAATATGTGGTACCTAGAATTTTACAGTGTATATTTTTAACAAAAAGTGAGTCTGAGAGTTATTGGTAACACCAAGTTTTTACAGATCCCAAGAAAGGGGACAAGATGGAAAACCCAGGGTGGGGATGGGTCAGAGAGATGGAGGACAGATTGCCTGGCGGAAAGGGGTGGGATGTTCTGATGGTGGATGTTCCTTGAGACTGTGCCATTCCCATCAGCCAGCCTGTGGCTCCTTTGAGTCTTATCAAATCTGAAAGGCTGGAGTAGTGTTTTTCCCTCTCTAGGCAACTGAGCATTACCTAAAACACCCTGGGACTAAAGCGAACCTCAGGGGATACTCTTCCTGTCACACCTCAGGTAATTGTACTGAAGAAGTTAATTGAGTTGCTTTGTGAGGAACTCACGGTAAGAGGCATTTGGTCTCATGTAAACAGGGAGGTAGCTTGTAGCGGGCGAGTCTGTCCAGCGTTTTATTTTGCCAGAACCCTCCATTTCAATCGTTATGGGGAGCATCTAGGCTGATGGGAAGGGAGCAGGGCTGATCTGGTGAGCCACGCCGGTGGAGAGCAGCACCTGTGCAGGTCGTCTGGCGCTTGCTGGTTGCATGGAAGCTCTGGCCGAGCGGTCTGTTGCACCAACTCAGTTCATTTGACCTGTCTGGCTGTCAAAGCAGCCTTTCACCTTTTTCGAATCCTGGGTCAAAGGAGCTAATACAGAGAACCGCTTTTGAGGTGGACAGACTGGCCGTCTACCCAAAGACCAGGCAGGAGAAGAGGGTGTCCTTCTGCCTGCATGACCCCCACGTTCTGGTAATGTTCTGTGCAGTGTGACCCAGTCTGGGGATGTGGCCTTCTGTGAGTGTGTGTGGGAATTGAGCTGCTCGGGGAAGGGTCCTAGAGGGCTTCGTGGTCTCAGTATGGGCTGTGCCAGAAACGGAATGTTATATACAGAGCCTTCCCAAGGGGCTGGTGGGGACAGGGACAAGCGTGTGCCTGGGGTGACCACAGTGAGATTGAAGGGGCTGCCACAACGTGTCCTTGTCTCTGTCTTGCACAGGTGAGCGCTGTGGGCGATGGGATGGATGAGGTGGAGCAGGACCAGCATGAGGCCCGTCTCAAGGAGCTGTTTGACAGTTTTGACACGACGGGCACTGGGTCCCTGGGGCAGGAGGAACTCACTGACCTGTGCCACATGTTGAGCTTGGAGGAAGTGACCCCAGTGCTGCAACAGACTCTACTTCAGGACAACCTCTTGGGCAGGGTAAGATCTGAGGAAGAACACAGTCTGTCGGAAGTGGGGTGTGGTTTATTTCTGGGTGCTGGGAGGCTGGGGCAAACCGCGCGTGTTGCAACTTCTTTCTAGCGTCCTGTCTGTTAGCCTGATAAGGTGACTATAGCAGGGGTGATAGAGCAGGACGGCTTGTTCACATGACAAGATGCTGTTTTAATTTCGGCTCTGGAATGATGACATTGTGCACTGAGTATTTGAGATGAGAAAAGGAGCTAATAAGAAACTTCTCAACTTTTTCTTGTTCTTTGTGGATCATTTTCTTCACTCTGCATTCACCATTGGGACAGAAAAGAGGGAGGTGAGATTTCTATTGAAGTGAAGGAAATTGCAGTAAGAAAAGTGTCCTTCCCAGAAAGAGCAGAGTTTTGTTATGACTTTTCCTCTCCATGAAGTTGTTTCTTGAGTGGATTGTTTCTGGGTGAAGTATTAATTCAACCTTCCACCCAGGACATAAAGACAGGAGGGTAAGTAACTACAGTGCAGGTTCATTTAAAAGCCAGCACGACTTGCTTCCAGCAGGGACACGTGTACGTGCCAGTGTTAACTTCCGTGCTTGGCGACAAATAGCCAGGTTTCCCCTGTAGGCCAAGTCACAGACTTCGTGAGAGGGGAAAGGCATCTCCCCGCCACCCCCTGCCTTGCCGATGGTGAGAAGGACATTTGGTCAGTCATGACCTGTGATTGGCTTCCATTTTCATAAATTATAATGAATAGCTTCACTTAGATAGCTCTGGGTTAAGTCTCTCACTGTTGGTTTTTGGAATGAATAAGAGACAAAAATGGATAACACTTAAACTCTGTTGCTGTCATTGCCAATACTTTGTAGACTGGTTTTTATCATCCGGTGTGAATGGAGGAAGCAGTCATGAAGATTCACTTTATTCTAGTGACTGAACTTCCTTTCTTGCATTTTCACTGTCCCTTACGGACAAAAGGCCAGGTGACCTCAAAGATAGTCCAGCGTATTGATGCTCTGTAGCCTGAGACAGGAGTGACGGTCATTCTGAAATTAATGCAAAAAAGATGATCTCCTTAGGGGCTTGGCTCCTTGAATGTGATGTTAAAGAGGATTCACACCACAAGAAGAAAAAGGGCGTTCTTTGCAAAAACTGGGCCATTCTTTGGCCACTTTGGGGGGATTAACTGCTTATGAATACATGTGGTTCAAGTAAAATGTTCAAAATCTTGCTTTGAAAGCAGTGAAAATGAGAGCTTTGAAGATTGAACCCCTTGTTCCTCATCACATAAGCACTCATGTTTCTGCGTTCTGCTTCAGTCTTTGACACCGTGGGGAGTAAAAGAATGGCGTCTCTCCGTAGTCCTGGGGGATCTCAGGTCTTTTGGTATCAAAGGAATAGTGTCAAAGGGTGGGTCTGTTTTAATGCTTATTAAAGCCTAAAAAGACATAATGCAACCTACGTCTTCTGTGAGAGGTTTTCCAGGAATCCTCTGCTGTAAACAGATGGCATGTTGGCAGCAGATTACCGGTTTGCTTTCCAGATGTTGCACATCTTTGCCCTCATTTGGTAGACTAAAACAGGGGACCCGTTATCGATTGATTTGTTAACGACTTGACACTACCAGCCTGCTTTTTTACTTTTGCTATTTGCCTGAATGATGAATACCTAAGTGGTCTATAGCGTGATATTTACTTAGTGAGCCAGTGATAAAAGTTAAATAGATGTATGCATATTGATTTTATGTGGGAGGTCCCTGGTGATTGTCTGGAGGGCAGGGTTGGCATGAATTAATGCACTACTGTTAAATTTGCATTTTTTATGAATCTGAAGTATTCTCCTCAGATGATCACATAAACTTGGCCATATGCTGTTAAGAAACTCTATATGGTCTATAATTCTAAATTAGAAGGGAAAAAAAATCCCTTAGAATTCAGTGGAGCAGCCCAAGGGCTACACCTTCATGACCTATTTGAGTAGGGATTGTAAGTTGTAAAATGGTAAGTTGTCTTTAATGCCAATCATCTGTTTTTTTTCTTTAGAAGATATTTATATAAAAACTTATGAGAGTTAGCAGCTTGATTTAATTAAAAAAGGAGAAAGAAAGGGTAGTGTCACAAATCTGAATATATTCAACTGTTGATTAGGTCAACACATAAATACTTGTGTGTTTTGCACATCAGGCATTTACTGGTCTTGTGTGGGTATAACTTAACTTACATTTATGTCTACCGTAAGCTGTAGTTTTCCTTAAATTGGCTTTTGGATTTAGTACAGTCTGGATACGTATGGCTTTAATTTTGTCTTTTCATTCTTAATGAGTTTAATTTTTAATTTTTAAATAAAATGAAACTTCTAGGTTTTGTTTTGAAAGAAATTGAGTTAATTTTTTTCTTAAGAAATAAAATCAAAGCATTGTGTCTCTCAACTAAGAATATGAATATTGCTTATTTTTAATTTTACAATTCATCTTCAATATTTTTTTTTCCTCATGCCTAAGTAAGTTGAGTAAAGTAACTTAAATCAACTTGTCATTTTCGTGTATTTAACTAATAGGCCATCTTCCCCCAAATTATGTTTCAGTTCATCTTGCTTTATAATGTAAAGCCATATTCCCCTGAGCAGGGTGGTTACTATACAAGTATTTGAAAAGCCTAAAGCTTGTAGCTCCCTTATTTGAAGGGAAGGGGACATGGCTGATAGAAGTTTCCTACTAGGTTATGGAAGGAGCTCCATCCATATCTTGTAATCAGTCGAGCACATGTCAGGTGGATCAGGCCCCAACAGAAGGGATTCCTCAAGACACTAATGTACTGGCAGGTAGATGGGACAAGGAACAAATACTACAGAGACTTAAATTACGGTAACACTCTCATCAGCCCATATTTCCACCCTAGCAATTGATACCAATCGAAGGTTCTTCCTATTTTTTAGGTCTTTTAAACTATTTCCACATGCCTATCTCTTTTATTAGAAATCAAGACATAAAGAAGATCATTTGCGTCAGTTTTGAAGCCTTTTATTACATCCAGTTTTTCAAATGAATTTCTCCATTTCTCCTTCCTTATGCAATAATACCAGCTTTGAGACAAAACAGCCCCCTGGGGTTCTGCAGTTCCATTGTTGCCCTGCTTCCCCTGAAGATGGGCGCCGAAATACCTCAGGCCTTGGCACTCTTTAGAATGAGAATAAAGCACCTGGAAGCAGAAGCTTTGACTTCCAAAGAGTCCCATAGGTGTGTGGACTTTGGTTATCAAAGGCACTTTGAAACTTTTAGGATTAAAATTTGATAACTGTACAAATATACAGTTCAGCTCAGTTCTTTCATCTTTCTTTTTAAAGTGTTTAAGATTCTTTTATAAAGATCATGACCCATTTTATGTGGTGGATTTGTTTCCAACTCATTACAAATTTTTAAGTTTCTTTTATACACCTTTCAGTCATTTGAAGAATAAATTAGAAATAGAGAAATACTTCCTGGTGGTGGTTATTTGGACCTGTTCTCTGTGTGCAAAGCTACGCTTGAGCATCAAATAGTGCCTGTTTGTCACAATCACCTGTTTCACATGATTGATTTGAAACCTGGATGTATTGGAATGGTGGAAATGTTTCTTATTGCATCTCCGACTTCTGGAGCTATGCCTTATCTTGCTATTTAACGACCATAGTTAAACAGAAAGAAGTGAAACGGCAAGGGTTCTTTAATGATTCCCATGTTGGTTTTGTGACTCTAGGTAAAAGATTATTCCATTCTTTATTCTCATCTTGAGTTTATTTGGACTCCTATGGGTCCGTGGTTCTCCACTCACAGACAGGAAAACCTCCTGATCAGGAGGCTACTGGACTTGCTTTTATTCTACAGTATCCCTTTTCCTGCCAAACTAATGACAGAATTAACTTTGGTTTGTGTACTCCAATTCCTGGAGTCCCTTAGAGACATTTAGTGTGAAAGAAAGCAAGAGCAGAGGGGAGAGATGCTGGGAAGATCCTGTACTGAAAGAGTAGGAAGGAGTAAGTACTACTTAATTTCAGTAATGGCTATCTCCTTTACCAGAGAAGATATGGTTAGGAATGCTCTTTAGATTTACCAGTACCCCACTGATACTTTTAGGAGTAGCTTTTTGTCTGTACAAAAGAGACTTGAAGTTTTTCAGTATCCATACCAGATACTCCAGGACGGAGGAACCCAGAACCTGGGAAGGCTTGTCCAAGGTCAGACATACTCAGCTGAGGCTGTGCCAGGATGGGGTTCTGGGCTTTCTAGTCCCTACATTTGAATGTGTGTTTCCATTTCCACAGTTTTCTTAAACTCCAAATCTGCAAAAATGAATCTCATCTTCCATTTACTTCCAAACACCACAACTGCGTCAGGAGTGTACTGCTGAGCATGGTCGCTAAAGTCACGCCTGGGTTCAAGAACTGGCTCTTGCCATGTTTTAGCTGTAGCCCATGTGGTCTTCCATACTCTGAGCCTTAGTTTCTTCATCTATTGGAAAAAATAATATATCCTCTTTACAAGATTGTGATGAAAGTTGACGGAGGTTGTGTGTATTAAATGCTTATCATAGAGCCAGGGACAGGGAACCACTACGTCTTGCATCTTGCTGTTTGCTCCTCTCTTTCACCCCTTACATATTCAGAATAGATCTTTGATAAATAGTGACTTCCCAGTAATGATTTTTAAAGAAACCTTGTTAGAGCAGAGAATGGATTTGCTAGAAGCTTCTGTGTGATGGAGATGATTTGCCTCTATTTCCATCTATAGGTAAGGGGTACTTTGATCAGTCTTAGAGTATGACTTCATATAGTTGCTTTAGATTTTAAAAATCTGCTGGGACCAGCAGTTAGCGTAATGGCTATGTCGCTGGACTCCCATGTAGTCGACCATGGTTCGAGTCCCAGACCCACGCCGGGTGCATGTGCGTGTGTGCCCAAGATCCCAAGAGGAGACTGGAGGAGAAGGGATTGCGGATGGCCAACCCCCCTGGGGGGTGATTTCTCCCTTTCTGTCTC